ACAAAGCATCGAAGTAAACGGTAATCCTTTAATGCAGACAAACCCTGACAAATAAAAGTACATTCTCTCGGACTAGTGGTGCATTAACGGTAATAGTATTAAGATGCCTTCGTGTTAGCCCCTAGCAAACACGACAATCTGAAATCTTTGTGAGATATTCTTTCCTTTCCTTTTCTCTTGTCCAAATTCACAGAAAGTTACTTCATGTCTGTTACATATCAAAGATTTCAAATTTGAGCGCGTGTAAGGAATCACATATAAAAGTATTTCAAATTCATTGTATTCACAGCACAAACATTTCTTAGTTTCCGATAAAAATAACATCATCATGTATCAGAAAGATATGAAGTAGTTGAGTAAGTATTGTTGGTAAAAATAAAATAAATTAAAAGTAAAAAAAAATTTTTTTAATAAAATGCTTTCATTTAAACGCTCTAAAAAGAATAAATTAAAATTTTTCTCAATAATTTCAACTATCAACTTAAAACCTCATTATACACAATTTATATGATCATGTGCTATGTCGATAGTTTGAATTCTCCAACAGCCTACTTCTGGCAGCCAATAAATCCTTCATAGTCTAGCACAGTTTTTTTTAAGCTCTTGGATCCAGTTGTGATTGTATGAGAATTTCTGCGTGGGACATGGCATATATTTTCTTAAATCCCTCGCTGGCTCATCCCAGGTGGTGGACATTTAGAGCAAAAATGGAGCTTCCGGCGACCTCTCAAAGAAGGCATTGCAATTTCCCAGAAGGAAATCTTTAGGAACCCTTTGTGTTGCCTGGGTTAAATTTAGATTCATCACTAAATGGCACTGATCCCTACCGTTACCCACGTGATAGAGTCTCGATGGTACGTCCCTAATTTGTCACTTTGATTTGGTACGTTTGAGCATCCTCCATTATTGACTGACCTATAGTACTTATGAGGCGTAGCAGGTCGAAACACTGTTTCTCTACTCGCGATTCACTGGTTTTTCTCTGTCTTTTGATCAGGATTGAATGCATAATTCAGTGTTGGTGATTGTATTCCAGTTCTGAATTGATTCATAATGGGTCACGAGTAGATATATAAATTTTAATAGTTCATATGCTGAACAATGATGGCATTATATTTGGAATCCAATGATTTAGCCACATTTTTCTCATGACCTCTGTTGTACCGTCAGTTCTAACGCATATTCTTCAGGAAGTGAAATAAAAGTTTTGTGGCGTACAACTGAATAATGTATGGAATCGTATATGTTGCCATCAATTTCCTAATTCGGATATGGTATAAATAATAAACTGGCTCTGGTCTGCAATGAGCACAAGAGTGCACTCAAAGTTTCAGAAGAAAAAGGGTGATTTATGAAGAGAAACTGATGACTTTAGCCCACATACACTGAATCCAGATACAAACGTTTTATAGGAAACTATCTATCTGTATCAGGCAGTATGAGATAAAGGAGATGGAAATGAATGATCTTTATCTACAACCATCAAGTTCTAGTTCTATTGTCAGTGGATTTCTTATATACCGTTGATGTCAGTTATATTGCTGTTGTGAATTCAGTAATGATGACAGTATGAGTGAGTAAAATTGGAACATCCCATCCATCGTTTTGTCATTCAGATAGCACAGCACAATATAGGACTGCTTGTGAAATATACGCAAATTGGATAGATATATGTAAGATATGAAATCGGAGGAGACGGGACCATTTTTAAAAAGAGATAATTCGTACTCTTTCAGTTCGTTTTTGACATTCAATTCAAACTTTGCGAGATTCGAGATATGGTATATGGGATTATTAATTTAGCAATCGTCAACATTTGAGTATCATTATTCCATGCGTAATGAGAATATGCCGATTCTCTATGAAATATCACATACACAGCATTTCGATTTTTTAAAGTTTGCATGGTTCTTTGTTGCAATTATCGCAATGAACTATGGAAAGCAGAAGCTATAGTGAGTTTGAAAATGTGCCTTACGATATTTCCAATGCAGGTGTTATAGTATATTATTATCTATTAGGTATTCTGTTCGAACTTCAGAATTTGTTACAAATTAAAATGAAAATGTTAGAAATTTTGTTATACAAAGAAATTTTATATAGTTATGTGTCTCATTAATTTGTTATTCTACATGGTTGCCGAAAAAATAGTGTGTACGCAGTACGTCCGAAAGAAGTTTTTTCCGGACTTGTTACGTAAATTACAGTTTTTGCAGATGCAGAAACTCTCATGGAGAATGCTTCCCTTTCGAATTCAAATATTTACAGGCATGTATACCTATCAGCTCAGAGAAAAATAATTGTCTGGTTTTTCTCTCGTTATGTTATGGTTGCATAATTTCATTCATTCTATGAATAACAGATATTAATCTTCGCACGCACGAGTCAGCTACCTTTCCAAGACTCGACAAGAACAATAATATGATAAGAGATATGTGCGTGAATATCGTACTTAATTATAAATATTATATGATTACAGCATTACGGGTAAATGATTATGGCCTAAGATAAACAATATAAGCAATGTAGCAATGCTTGATGGAATGAGCAATTATAATCCTATAGGACCGCGAAAGCTTGGTCTTAGCTATACAGGATGAATACATTTCAGTGGTTTAATGTATAGTTCGGCAAAAGGGAAAAAGCTCCCCTGTATCTACTCCACTGGACAATTTTGAGAAAACTTAGTTGCGTCAAACAACGATCAGAGTAACCAAATTTTGTTTTATGTCCTAAGACAAGAAAAAGATTTCCAAAACTGGACTTCAGAGGGATGTATCTCCCTGGAAGAGCTCGTTCAAAAAAATTCAATAATAATGCCTCTTTTTATTTTGAAGCACCATGGTGAATTATTGCTGATATAGCATGAACCACCCTGTATATTAGCTCGCTCATTTCTATCTAATGAACACATGGTCGCGTCTTTACTGCGCATGCTCTCATTTGCCGTGCGAGCCACGTTAGGAAACACTAGAATATAACGATATTGGCCTTCTAGGTCTTTGAGTTCAGTGTTTCAGACTCACCAAATCATTCCTTCTGATAACCTAGGGCAGTAGCCCCCCCGAAATGTCCGAGCTAGTTGCGCCCGTGCATCCATTTACTCCGCCAGAGACTACCCAATGAGCACAGTAAGGTTGAAAAAACGTTGCTAAATGTTTTGAAACCGAACGTTTTTAAGGGGTATTTCTCAAACGTTGATTCAACGAAAAAATGTCGCACGATAAAACGTTTCGTTCAACCAAATCACCTACTAGAAATAAACGTATTTTGAGTATCAACGTGACATAAACGTAATGTTTCGACGTTTCATAATTGTCGATAATAAAGGTTTACTTCGGATCAATTTTGAGTCGTCGAATTTTTGGTTTCAGATTACTTTTCGTTATTTTTGTGTCCACAATGAATTTATTATCATTTTCATAATTATTGCAATAATTATAATTATAACTCACTAACCTGATATGTGTCCATGTATTTCCTTCCCGTTCCACTTCCTTCTTAGTGGCGTACCTATCTTCACGTATCCCTATTCAAATTTGTTCGAGTACCCGTATTTGTACTTAAACTCTTGATGTGAGCGTCGGCGAGATGTAAACGGAAAGAATACACGTTGTCTAATGACGATTATTTAACGTTGTTAGAAAACATATATCACACGCTTTTTTTTACCAACCGTTATCGAATACTTAAAAAAAAAAACGCTTGAGTAACGTTCATTTCAAGAGTTCAATAAACGTTTTGAATAGACGTTAGTTGACCGAAAGGACTTTGCCGGATCGATGGAAAGTAGTTTTGTATCCATGTAAAACACACGTTCTCAAATGACGGATGATATAGAATATAGTTTGACGAAAACTTATATTACACGTTGACGAATAACAGTTGAAAAACGTTGTTGAAAAACGTTCTATTCGCGTTCTTCTTCCACTCTCGGTCAGACAATGTTGACAGATTCGCGTTTCAGCAATGTTTATTTCGAAAGTCTGACTAACGTTTCGGAAAAACGTTTTATGAATGTATAACTTCAACAGATCGTCAGGACATATAGTTTGCGATACGTTTATAAAACGTTAAGATTTAACTACTTCAACCATATTTCAACGTTGAATTTCTCAACCATAAACGTCTATCTAACTCGTTCTACGTTGATAATACGTTGAAAAAACGTACGTGTACCAAAAAATGTTACATAACCGCGAGCACTTATACCAAAATGTGAAAGATAGTTTGATAACAATATTAATCACACGTTACTGAGTAATGGTTGAGGAACGTTATTGAAAAGCGTATTCATCACGTTGTTTCTGTTACTGACTGTTGAATGATGGTAAAAGATCCACTTTGGGAAAACGCCAGAGTTCATTAAACGTTCAAAAAACGTTACATAACCGTGATCACTTCTACAAAAATGTGAAAAATAGTTTGATAACAACATTCATTACACGTTGGCAAATAACAGTGGAAGAACGTTGTTGAAAAACATTTTTAACACGTTGATTTCTCGACCAGCAGTTGATTTTTGTTGAAAGAATGGCGTTGAAAAAACGAACATTCCAAGGGTTTAACAAACGTTTCGAATAAACGTTATATAACTGCTAGCAGTTCAACTGTGAGTTGAAAAATAGTTTAACAACAAGGTATAATAAACGTTGTCGAATGACGGCTGGAAAATGTAGTTAAATAACGTTTTATTCACGTTTTTCTCCACTATCAGGTAGAAAATAATGAAGGATTCTCGTTGAAGAAACGTTTATCTCAAGAGCTCGTCTAACGTTTTGAGAGAACGTTTTATAAATTGACGAATTTCATGAATCGTTAGGACATATCGTTTTCAACACGTGTATTAAACGTTTAGTTTTAACGTTTTTCTCTTCAACCATATATCAACGTTGAATTCCTCAACCATAAACAACTATTCAACCTGATCTACGTTGATTAAACGTTTACAAAACGTACGTGTGCCCATTGGGTAATAACCCCGCTCTTTCGCTTTACAGCTACCGGACGGAGTGCAGTTGACGCTGAGCGAGCTGCGCGAGATGGCCTGCCGGCAGCAGGCGCAGATCGAGTCGCAGCACCAGCTGCTCGCCGCCAAGGAGCAGCGGCTGCGCTACTTGAAGGAGCAGGAGCAGCGCCAGCAGCGCGTGCAGGCGGAGAGCGAGCGGCTGCGCAGGCTGCGCGACCGCGTCGACGCACAGGAGCTGAAGCTGAGGAAGCTGCGCGCGCTGCGGGGGCAGGTGGATCACCAGAAGCAGAACAATATATCTCTCAGTGAGTATGACGGATCATTTTCATTCAGTTTTATCGTTGATTGAGGTATTTTTACTGATGTGCGGCTTCAATAAAGTCAATATGAAATCCAACGCGTTTCTATTCAATGATCATGTAATGATAGCTAATAGCTATTAATACACGAGCACGTGATAACAGTGTGCGAGTGGGATACCCTGTACCTTTATTTAGTTTGATAAATTCTCCTTTGAATTTCAACACTTTATTATCTGATATTCTCAGATTATACTGACCAGTGGCGGATCTACGATTCCTGGGGCCCTTAGCTCAATAATGATCCTTTGGGCCCCTGTGGCCCGTATCCTTAATCCTCCTTCTGTTTTATGTTTCAATTAATTCAATACCATTTGGTATTTTCTTCCGAATACAAACGGGAACTAAACTGAATATTTAATGATTTAAATGTATAGGGTGAAAAAAAACATGAATTTCAACATTCATTGATCAGAATATACTATGAAAAGAACACCAAAAAATGAAAAAAACATTATATGAAATGAACGTAACAATAACACTGACTATAGGGTGAGATACCTGACCTACGTTTTCATTTCAATACCAGGCGGAATATATTACGATCTTACCCATCATTTTCTGATTTTCAAATCTGCGTAAGATTTCATTACACCATCATTATTCAAACTATTTCTCAAATCACTTTCAATCGAGAGCATTCCCGAAGGTTGTGATATTTTTTTTGGAAATACAGAGTTCTATATTCAATTTCAATTATTGTTGATTCTGGAAATAAATGCTTCGCAACTGGCCACTGGTAGTGGTGAAAACAAGTTGAAAGCACCATTTTGATTAGGAAATACCTACGTCCATCATTTCTCCACTGTGCATGGTCCCGCCGATTTCCAAAACTTTAGAGGAGATAGCAAGTTGATGAAATTATAGAGAAAAGTAATGCGTAATTCAAACCATTTCAATTTGCCGTTTTTCAATTTAAAAAAATTTCAGCCGTTCCTGAAATATTTGAAAAAAAAAACTGAAATTCATCGATTCTGTTTTTATTCAGTTAAAATTTTGGGAAAACGAATGAGCCTAACTTTTTTCAGTTTGCAGAAAGGCATATTTTGAAGGCGATCAGAATATACGCATTTTTGTCTGATTTTATCAATTCTTCATTACTTTCTGTTTATGAAATAGCAATACTGCCCTTAGCAAATCAACATTTAGGAGCAAAAAATGAGTTTCTGTTCAGAGGAAAAATTTCATTTTGTCATTATTTCATTTATACTAACGAATGATATAGGGAAATGACGATGCAAGGCCAGGGACCCTGCGAGGCCCTGACATGGTTGGGGCCCTATGCTTGAGCATACTAAGTGTACCAATGAATCCGCCGCTGATACTGACTGGGCCCAATGAAAATCTTTCTTGGTCGAATATTGGTTCTCGTTAACCCTTTCTATGGGCAATGAACTCAATGTAAACACCTGGAAGGGAGACTGCCGTTCTTTCGAACCGCACAAAGTGTGTCAGGGGCAGCTGCAACAAAGATAGCTTGTGTTACGGTAACCTGTCTCTTCCACAGTCGTGTTGTTTAATTGCGGATTGGTGCATACATTTTTTTTATCCAATAATAGGAGTACTTGAGATCTTTTTTTTTACCTGAACAGGCAAAAAAAGTGAAGACAGACTTCATTGTTTTTCGTTATGTGAAAAACACGTGAAACATTGCTAAATTTGGCGTGTTTTGTTTCTTCAAAAGGATTGCATTTGTTGTTGTGAATTGATTGTTGTTGAGAAGGTTTGTGATTAAATGTTTTAATAAACAATGGTTATTTATATTCTGTTGCCTTTGGATGTAAAACAAGCAAGACAAACATAAATTGTCCATTTGTCCTTCATGAGTAAGTTGAAAATTGATCGATTCTTAGAAAAGCTATAGAAATATATTTTCAGGATGTCTGTGGATGTGTGTATGGATGTTCATAACTTGAATTCTAAGTACGATGTTTCCCATATAGATATTGATTTGCCTCTTCAACTTCCAGCTCCCAAGTTTCAAAGTTTTTTGATAATGAAACTCTCAAACTGTTCCATTCCAGAAAGGCTATTCAATTACAAAGGAAAGTGAAAACACTGAAACCAAAAGTAAAAAGAAGAAGGACAATCTTCACGAGGTACTGAGAAACATTTTGAAGGTTGAAACTACGAGTTCAAATGTTTGAACTCAAGAGCTACATCATATTGTCTTTTCATGTTTGCTTTCGGAGCTTCTTCTTCTCCAGAAAGGAAAAAATGATTAGTCCAAAAATTGTTCTTTTATTCACCTTCACCTTCTATTCACCATTTATTCACCTTTCATCCACCCTTCAATGGTAAAATGTTCATGGAAAATTAGGCTTGAAATATAACTTAGGTACTCAATGCCATTCAAGAACCTCTCATCAAATTTTTTTTATCGTTTTTCTTTATTCTCTGATAGCGCTCACCCTGTACAATATATTGTGACATTTGAATGAAAATATATAATTTCAATTTTGTATTCATTTGACTTTCTAATCCTGTAAGAAAAAATGAAAATGCACTTTTAAGTCAATAAAAAAATCAATAATAATTTTTGAATGATAATTGATTACAACATTAACCTTTTTCCTAAATGAATATTCATATTTAATCACGTATAGTCTTAAATAAAAACAATAAACTAGAACATATTTCAATTAATGCGAGCGCTTCCCATTAGCCAACATAAGATAGACAGAGATAGGTATCCGTAACCACTGCGGGTTGCCTGAAAAATATTCTTGCCTCTTCCTCGTTCACAAAGAATCCCTTCCAGTTGTTTACATTGAGTTCAATGTCTATAGGTAATCATTTACTTTATTCAATATGCAAGGTGTTTTTGAAATAAGTGCACATATTCAGCTCATTAATATGATATAGTCTAGGGAATATTACGATGCTATCAGTTTTTTTTCAATTCTTCTAATGAACGAGAAATTTTATCCCAAAAATTGAACAGAATACGAGAAAAATATCAAGTACGCTACTCTGAAACAATTTAAATGATTGAACTCCGCGTGATTGTGCCTACCGCATGGAAATTTGAACAGAGGTGACGTCAGATTTGCTATACAGTGCAGAGATTCACGGCTTGACTTGATATTCAAGCTACTTGACTTGACTTGACTTGAAATCAAGTCAAGTTCAAGTCAAGCGAAAGTTTTTTAATGTCAAGTCAAGTCAAGTAATTATTTATCAAGTACTTGAAAAATCAAGTAGTTCTATCAAGCTACTTGATTTTCAGCAGTTTTATTGTGTATCTATACAGCGTGACTCACGGTCGATGTTATAGGTTAGACGTTTATGGAGAAAGCGACGCGGGATTTTTCTGAAAATTTCGCATACACAAAAAATTCCTGAAGTTGAAAAATCTCGAATTTTCGCACTCTATATCTCCATAATCTTATCCGCTATACCCCGAGTGTGATGTATCGATGAAATCAACTCTTCAAGGAGAATCTGAAAATGCAATAAAATACAGGGTGTTCAATTCGAAATAACAAAGTGGTTCCTACTTTTCTATAGAAGCGGCAACGTCTTGATTTTGAAAATATATTAGATCGATAGTACCGGTGATGAAATGTAAGATGCGAAATTTTCAGAAAAATCCTGCGTTGCGTTCCTATCATAAACGTGAACGTCTAACCTACCATCGACCGTGAGTCACCCTGTATATAACTGATGAAATGAAAATGGCATCGTAAGACTGACTGCGCGATCGATTCAGCCAGCTCTGATCTCGGGGAACCCCCGTATTTTGTCTAAGCGTGAGCGAGCTTGCAGAAATATACGCCGTGCGACTCGTGCGTATCAAGATCAAGTATTATCAAGTAGCTTGATTTCAAGTCAAGTAATAAATATCTCAAATTCAAGTCAAGTCAAGTACGTAATTTGCCACGAGCTTGATTTTCAAGTCAAGTCAAGTAGTTTGTTAAAATATCAAGCTACTTGACTTGATGAATCTCTGATACAGTGTAGAACTTTGGGTAGAAAAAGGAGCCTAACCTCAAATTTTATTTTTATCTCTAAATTTTTTTATTAGTGCCATTCGATAGTACACGTCGAGCTTTCTCAGTGTTTGAAATATTTGCACTTATTTCAATGCCACCCTGTGATCTGATGAAAAATTTGAAGGTGCATTTGAAAAACGAAATGTTTTCCTGGTAAGAGAGAATGGAAAACCCTGTATAATATTTGAAATAAGTCATTGTGTAAAAAAACTCCATTCAACTGTTTCTTGTTGTTTTCTAAACGGGGAGATATGCAGGAACGCGCCACTGTTTTCGGGTTGAGGTTTCTGCATTGGGATTCTTATTCGAACACCCTCTTTGAGCATTTGTACGTTTTGCATACCAGACCCTTTATAGCACTTCATTCCTCTTGAAATGTACATGTACATACATATTGAAATTGTATAAATGATATCCAGAATCTGTTGAAATGAGAATATACGTTAGAAACATAATATATACTCCGAGGATGATGCTCAAAGAGAATACTGAATTTATTTCCAATTTGATAAAATACATTAACACTGCCAGAAGTGATTACTGCATTTATTACATTTTATTTACATTACATGACAATATATTCGACGACGACGTCGAGTTCAGTACGACTATAGTGACAAAATTGAAGTCTGACCACGATAGTCTGACAAATACTTGGCAGGAGTGTTGAACGCGAGACAGAAGTGTCATTGTTATTATTTGGATTTATATAAATTTTCTTAATAATATGTACCCGATTTTTCTTGAACTTTTTTGTCCTCCTCTTCGTTAATTCACATCTCCAATTTTTCTGTTTATTATTTAGACCAATATAATGGTTCGCTTGGTTGAAAAACATTGAGGGAGATATTAAGAATTGAAGCACAGCAAATCAAAGCAAATTTTTGTGTCCGAATATATTTCTAGAAATGAATAAGAGGCGATAATGTAAAGAACAGGTTGTTTTCGTAA